CTTTTTGTTTAGTTTATGGTTTCCTTTGCTGTGCAAAAGCTTATAAGTTTAATCAGGTCCCATTTGTTTATTTTTGCTTTTATTTCTATTGCCTTGGGAGACTGACCTAAGAAAACATTGCTATTATTAATGTCAGAGAATGTTTTGCCTGTGTTCTCTTCTGGGAGTTTTATGGTGTCCTGTCTTATATTTAAGTCTTTAAGCCATTTTGAGTTTATTTTTGTGTATGTTGTGAAGGAGTGTTGTAACTTTATTGATTTACATGCCACGTAGGAGATTTTTGCAAGATCTACCTTGGGGCCAAATTTAAGGAGGCTTTTGAGAAGGCTATGGTGTTTGTAAATTTAAGAATTCTTCCAAGTTTGGTATTCTAAATAATATTCATTCTAAATATTTATTGAATTCCCATAGTGTATGAAGCCCTGAGCTTTCTGTTGTGGTGCTTAGAAGTGGTCCTTCCTTCTCTTCCCGGAGTTCTGCATTCATTATCTACATGACATGGGTCCAGGCAGGACATAAATCCAAATGTATATTGTATTAGTTTCCTGAGGCTGTTGGAATAAATTACCACAAACTTACTGGCTTACAATGGAAATTTATTTTCTCACAGTTCTGGCGGCTAAGTCTGAAATGCACACTCCCTCTGGAAGCTTTAGGGGAGAATCTGTACCTTGATTCTAAGTAGCTTCTAGTGGCTGACAGTATTCCTTGGCTTGTGGCCACATCACTCCAAACCCTGCCTCCGCCTTCACCTCCCTCTCTTCTGTGTGTCTGTTTTTCCTCTTTTGTCTGTGAAATCTCCCTCTGTCTCATAAAGACACTTGTGATGGCACCCAGATAATCCACTGTTATCTCTTCGTTGCAGTATCTTTAATCACATCTCCAAAGACATTTTTTTCAAATACAGTAATATTAACAAGTTCCAGGCATTAAGGCTTGGTAACTTTGTGTGGCCGTTATTCAACCAACCACACTCATCTACCGCAGAAATTACATGTAGTGATCTGAGCATCTCATCTCTCTCACTGCATGATCCTCAGCAGTACTCACCCCACAATATATATACCAGCTGTAAAGCCACTGTTGACCGAGGGCAGGCATGATGTGTTTATGTCTTCCGCTTTCTTGAGCACTTCAGAACAAACTGTGCTAGTTGCTGGAGGGCGAGGTAAACAGAAAGCTCCAGGACAGCAGGGTGAGGGCTGTGGTTGGAGCAGAGCGCAGGGGCACTGAGAACAAATTCGAGGGGCTCCTAACCCAGTCACAGTTGAGCAGGGGAGGCCACCTGGAGGAGGTGAGGTCTCATGTGGTGCTGAGGGGTAAATAGGAGTTCACCAAGAAGCCGGGAAAGAGAGCTCCAGACAAAACCGCCTGTGCAAGTGCCTGGAGGTCTAGATAAGAGATTGGCAAAAGGGATAAAATGGGAATGGATATATCCCGAGGCTATTGAGAAGGCTGACCTGGCAGGGATCGGTGGTGATTGATTGGCTGTGCAGGAGGATGCAGGAAGGAGGGTCCAGGTGGAATTCCTGTCTGCTCTGGGCAGCCAGGTTCATTCAGTGAGACAAAGGACACAGGAGGGAAGGACTGGAGACAAGATGATTCGTTTGGTTTGAGAGAGCTGTTTATTCCGTGAATCTGTTTCTCTCTGGCTGTCTCTCTCTCTCTCTCTTTTGTCAGTTAAAAACCACCCTGGCCAAGGATAGGGCGGTATCCTTTGCCAAGTGAGCAGTTTTCTTTGTCATTTACTCTCACATACAAAACCATGGAACACCGCCATGAAATGATTCATGTGTAAATTATTTGGAGTTAGAATCATGAATCACTTAACATAAATAATGGTAGATGACTGAATAATGCAAGTTCAGTGCAGTTCAAGACAAAAGTGATGTTCACGTTGTATTTAAAAATATTTCCCTGGAAAATGTAACCTAGAGAGCATTTTTATATATTAGAAACAAAGATTACATACGGGTTGCATAAGAAATAGGAAGATAACGTTTGTAAAGATTTTTGTGCATTGTTTTGTTTTGCTTCTGAGGATGGTTTACGTTAAAAAGAGGATTGTTCCTTCAAAGACGTATTTACATGCATCGTCAGAGGTTGGGAAACAAAGGCTAATAGCTCCCACATCCCAGCAAAAACCTTCACTATGTGCATAGAATACTAGCCATTGTTGAGTAGCATACAGTAAGCCGAGATAATAAATAATGGTGGAGAAAATGTTGCAATATTCACTTAATGTTTGAAATGTAACACTGCCCAGAGGCCCTGGGATAAGTTCCACAATGCGTCTCAGAAGACTCTCTATTGTGCCTTTTAATGAAAAAGATAACTTGGGGGAGGTGTAGTCTCCGTATGTGGTAGACTCCTTATTTTAGCTCCAATTTGAGCGAATTCTTGGGGTACTGGTGATGGGGATTATTTTACATATGTCACTCTAAATTAGCATCACAGACAGAGCCCCTGAAGAGAGGTAAATTTATAGACTCTCCCAACCTGGGGGAAATGGGGAGGAGGGAGGAGAACTGACGTGATAGTTCCACTTAGCTTAAAAATCAAACACCCATTTTACTACCATGTCGTCTCGGCTTCATACAGAGTGAAATAAACTCATTTGGTTGCCTTTACATGTTCACAAAGGTACATCCGCCTCTGCTTGTTACTGTGATTAAGGACATGGTTGGCACAGATGAGCCAAAGGCTTCTAAACAGGTGTACAAATGTGGAGGGTTTGCTGCATCTTTCCTTTGTCTCTGTGGCCACGAGGAGTTGGCTGCACAGCTGCTTCCCTTGGGAGGGGACCAGGGCTCTGTTGCTGCCTACTGCTGCTGCCCTGTGGGACTGGAACCACGTAGGGGGCCCTGTGGCCTCCCAGCTGTGGTTGGCTAGGTTCTGAGAACCACTGTTCTTCCCTGTCTGCTGACCCCAAAGCCAGTCTAAGTCTTCCCAGCCCTGCTCATTAATGGGCATAGATTCTCTTCCTGTACAGAGCCTGGTGTGGTTCTGCCTTGACTCCCAAGTTGGTGTGAGACTACCTCTAGTTCCTATCTTTTCAAGGAATTGAATAGTTTCAGCTTTGCAGCTATCATTTTGAAAAATTACAACTTTGACTAAAGCCTCCCCCTTTGAAAGCTGATATTGTACAGTACAAAAAATTTGGACTGGGATGTCAGGACCCTAGGTGTGCACCCCGCCTCCAAGGACTGTTCTAAGGATGAGCGTTAAGACATTACACAAGTACCTTGCACAGCGACTGACAGATAGTGACTAGATTCCTAGATCATGTTGGTTCTTTTCTTTCCCCCATGTTGGTTCAGCATTTGCACCGTCATCTTCCAACATTTACCGAGTGACTACCTGGACAAACACAGTGCATTCAATGCTCGAGAAACACCACCCACCACGAGCAGCAGCCAGCAACAGATTTTCTCTGAACGTTAGTTATTCATCTGTTATAATTCATACTTCCACCTGTTGTCGAAAAGCATTTGAGATGGCTTTGAGTAAAAATACATGTATACATGGATGCATGAAGATGAGAGGAACCATAAATGGTATCCTGAACTAGAGATAATTATCTTACTACTGCAGCAGAACACTGAAATTCATGAGAGCAAAGGAGGCAAAAGGGGCGGTAAGAGGGAAGCGCGCGCACACACACACACACACACGAACATATAACATGAATATATGCATATAGGTGTATTGAATATTTAGGTAGCAAATGATAGCTCTTATAAGGTAAATTTTATAAAAGCTATATTTGAAAACCTAGAGTGTGTAATAGGGCAATTAGCAATTTTTATAGAGCATTTCCTAAATTCTAAAAAATTTATTATTACAGTTAATGAGGATTAACAAATATGACATCGTTGAGAGATTTTAATGTCTCATAATAAAATAGACCAGTTGTTGCTCATGATTCATGGGTTGGTGTATTGAAAATAATAATGCCGTGAGTAAACGTTTTGCTACAGTGCTGATCGCAACTGCATTACTCACCAGGACTGATAATCAGGTGGTGTTTTCAGAGAAGTGATGGTCCCCATGGTACTATATGTTTCCTGATTTCTGAAATACAAGATGATAAGGAACATCCATCTGGTGAATGATTTCATACCCAATCATAGAAGAAGAAAGTTTCTTTTTTATGAATTTCAACATGAAATTCAAATTCATATTGGTAATAGTTTAAAAACTAAAAATGTTTGTAATGCTAGAAGTTGTATCCCATAAGCATGCCAAATTTCCTTATATGCCTAGTCTTTATTTCTGAGTGTATACTGAAAGGGGAAAGTGATTCCAGCTGAACTGCAAAGCACAGTGTGGCGTACACAAGCTTTCATAGCATCACAACCTCTTAAGGTGTTAGAAATAAAGAAGAGACAGAAAGGAGTGTGTTTTATGTGCCAGATAGCATGCCGAGCCTTTTGAGGGATGTATTTTTTAAAAATAAATTTATTTATTTATTTTATTTTTGGCTGTGTTGGGTCTTTGTTGCTGCGTGTGGGCTTTCTCTAGTTGCGGTGAGCGGGAGTTACTCTTCTTTGCGGTGTGCGGGCTTCTCATTATGGTGGCTTCTCTTGTTGCACAGCATGGGCTCTAGGCGCGTGAGCTTCAGTAGTTGTGGCACACAGGCTCAGTAGTTGTGGCACGTGGGCTCAGGAGTTGTGGCGCACAGGCTTAGTTGCTCTGTGGCATGTGGGATCTTCCCGGACCAGGGCTCAAACCCGTGTCCCCTGCATTGGCAGGCGGACTCCTAACCACTGCGCAACCAGGGAACTCCTCGAGGGATGTATTGAAGTATGTCTTTCTGTTAGTTGCAATGAGGTGTCATGCTGACTTGTCCTGTCCCTAGGGACACCAGCTGGGCCAGGGTGTGGTTTGTCTCTGTTCCTTCAGTGTCAGATCTACAGCCTGCGTTGTCCTCCAGAACACAGGGATAGAGCAGAGGGTTCTGTAATTTCTGATCTACCTCTCTAAACGCTTTTTGACAGGAGCATCTGATTGAGAACGAAGTGTCGATACTGCGCAGAGTGAAGCATCCAAATATCATCATGCTGGTTGAGGAGATGGAAACAGCTACTGAGCTTTTTCTGGTGATGGAATTGGTCAAAGTAAGAGGATGGAGAGATTTCAAGAGAATTCATTGATGACAAATCCCAAGACGTACAATATTCTTGAAGGACCTAATTGGAAAAGTGTTTTGCTACCTTGAAACTTCCATTATTTATAATCATCAATTTTAGTGGCACTTGTGTCATTTTTTTCATCTATTCCAGGCTGATGAGCTTTCTTTGTTACCTTCATAGAACTGCCACTGTTGATGTTTTGGTTTGTTTTGCTTTTTAAAATATTTATTTATTTATTTATTTGGTTGCATTGGGTCTTAGTTATGGCAGATGGGCTCCTTAGTTGCGGCACACAGGCACCTTAGTTGTGGCATGCAAACTCTTAGTTGCGGCATGCATGTGGGATCTAGTTCCCGGACCAGGGATCGAACCTTGGCCTTCTGCATTGAGAGTGCAGAGTCTTAACCACTGTGCCACCAGGGAAGTCCCCACTGTCGATGTTTTGATATGTTCTTTTATGTGTCCTTTAGGGTGGAGATCTCTTTGATGCAATTACTTCTTCAACCAAGTACACTGAGAGAGATGGCAGTGCCATGGTGTACAACCTGGCCAACGCCCTCAGGTACCTCCATGCCCTCAGCATTGTGCACAGAGACATCAAGCCAGAGAACCTCTTGGTACGTCATCTCTGCCTTTTCTGTTCCAACTCAGGCCTCTCTCCCTTTAAAGTGACAGTAATTGCATGCAAATAATCATATGCAGACTATGACATTTTATTTTATTTATTCATTTATTTTTTGTGGTACGCGGGCCTCTCACTGTTGTGGCCTCTCCCGTTGCGGAGCACAGGCTCCGGAAGCGCAGGCTCAGCGGCCATGGCTCACGGGCCCAGCCGCTCTGCGGCATGTGGGATCTTCCCGGACCGGGTCACGAACCCGTGTCCCCTGCATCGGCAGGCAGACTCTCAACCACTGCGCCACCAGGGAAGCCCCAATGACATTTTAAAGTCTATACCAGCCCTGCAGATACGGGGCTGAGAGGATTTAAATCTAGAAAATCAGCCTGACTCAAGTCAATGACCATAAAATGTTAATGGATTTCTCGAATTGATCTGCACTTCTGCATTTACTGTTTACCAGACATTAGAAAACATATTTTCATTTACGATTTGATGGATGGTGCTAACTGAAGAAAGGTGAGCAGGAAAATTATTTTATGAGGCAAAAAATTCTGAAGAATAAATTGGAGACAGAAACAGAATTAGAGGCTTGTAGGAGACAGCAGTAGAACACAAGCGTTCGTTTCTGTGCAGGACGGAAGTTTGGAAATGATCTAGTCCGTTCATTTCAGCTCTACAGATATGGAAATTGAGACCCAGATATGCTAACTTTTCTTGTTTAAAAGTCTCATTTGTCCTGTTGTTCTACAGATGAAAGTCTTATTCTAATATGCACTCAGCTTCATAATCTGGTTCCAGTTTACCTTTCCAGCCTCTTCTCCTGTTACTCTCTTCCCTACCCATCTGGCCAGCATGGCACTCACCTTCAAGCCATATTTAACTCACCTCATGGTGGCCTTCAAACCAAACATTGCTAATGGGGACAGTCCTCATGTCTACATTGTAGAGAAATTTTAGAGAAGGCGATTTGGGAGTTCTGCACACACACATCTCCCAAACGCACACAGGACTCTTGGCTTCTCTGTTTCCACCTTTCAGGGCTGAGCGTCACCATCATCATCGTTACTGCTTGGCAGGTGAGCCTATCTGAGTCTCCCATATCGTGTGCATCCAAGCACAGGTTTCCCCGGGTCCAGGAGTTGGCGAAGACTTGACTTCCTCAGCAGCATTACGCCTCATTGTTGGTGTCCACACTGGTCTCTGTTTGCAGCATCCTGTCCCCCAGCAACGTGGCAAACACGTTCATCTTGTAAGATACTGAGCAAGGCCTGTCTCCTTTTTTTTTTTTTTTTTTTTTTGCAGTACGCGGGCCTCTCACTGTTGTGGCCTCTCCCGTTGCGGAGCGCAGGCTTAGCGGCCATGGCTTACGGGCCCAGCCGCTCCGTGGCATGTGGGATCCTCCTGGACCGGGGCACGAACCCGCATCCCCTGCATCAGCAGGTGGACTCTCAACCACTGTGCCACCGGGGAAGCCCGAGGCCTGTCTTCTTGATATCACCCCAGGCTCCCTGGGCAGAGTCAGTCATGGCCACCTCTGGTTTTTGCTGCACTTGCCGTGGTGCAGTGATTTTATCGTTTACTTGTCTGTTGTCTTCTCTAGGTCGTAAGCACTAACGGGGCAAGGTCTGTGTTTCGGTTACTTTATATCCCCAGGGCCGAGGAAGCACACAGTGGACGTGGGTAGATGGCTGGTGACTGACCACCATGGTCACCTAGGTCACCAGCAGCTGGCCCTCAAACACAAGTCTCCACAGCCTGCCTCATACGCCCAGCACGCAAATAACAACTGAATGGACTAGGCTTTGGGGCCGTCCTGGGGCTTTCTGCTAATCCAGGGTATCGATTTCGCCTTTTGGTTAATACCATTTGATAATTTCCAAGTGTCCACTTAAAAAGTATGTGAGGTTTTTTTTCTTACTGTCTCCTGCCTTGAGGGAATATGTTTCATTTCTGTTTGTTCCTATTAGGAAAGTAAACACCCCTGCTCTGTAAAACAAGATGTGTTATGTGAACTCTAAGGAGGAATGGAGGCAGCGGTAAGCCAGGCCCCTGGGTGGACGTGAGGGCGTGGGGTTCCCTCCTCTCGACGGGCTGCTTCTGCACCTTGCGGCTGCAGTCTGGGCTGGCCCCGCCCCTCCCCCACTGACAGAACTTGGCCGGGGGCAGAGGGGATAAGGCTTCCCCCCGCAGAGCCAGACACAGTGCCGAGGTGTTCACGAGGACGCCCCTGCTCTCCACGGCCCACGTCACCGCAGTGGCCGCTGTGATTGACGTTCTCTGAGAGCACGGGGCCACGGGGCCCAAGGACCAGTGGTTACCACAGTGCCCACGCCACCTGGCTCTGACTGCGGGGGCCCAGCCGGCGAGGAGGGTGGTGGAAGGGTGAGTGAGCTTCCCTGTAAACCCCAGGGTGCCCGTTTCCCAGCTCACTGATTCCGTTCTCACCCCATTTCCCCTCTTTTCCACTCACAGTTCCTTACTGTATGCAGAATCTCAGAAAACCGCCCCTCATCCTCTTCTGCTGTTACACATCAAGGGAAGATAGCAGTTGGAGACATCAGTCCCCGTTAGGATGAGTCTCAGAATGTAGGCAGGAGATTGGAATTGAGTGCCTCACCTGCCCCACCTGCCCCACCTGCCCCACCTGGATGAATGTCCACCCCACTCCGAGACCTGCTCTAACCCCGCTGTGCTGCCCAAAGGGCAGAGAAGGGAGATGATAAAACTGATGTCGGGATGAGGCTAATGTGTGACATGAAAGGGCCGTGGGGTCAGGCTTTGGAGACCCTTAGCTGCGCATATCCAAGTAGAATATGTGCCTGCCTTTGGAAACCTAACTGGACCCCTCGGCTGATCCTAGATAGAGTCAGCAGGTTGGCGTGAAAAAGTGCCATCGAGGCACTAAAAGGAAATACACAGAGGGACTGCCAACGTCTTGCTACTTTAAAAGAGAATTGGGTCTTTGAACACCAGAGCATTCAGACATCTGATTTGCATCCCCTCCTCTGGCCGCAGTGTCATAATTTAAACCCCTGCCAGCAGAGATGTATGGGTCACTGTGTCAGGGAGCACAGGGGTGGCCATTAATGCCGTGAGTTACAGCCTGGCGGTGCCCTGTCAGAGTTAACTATGAGAGACCAGCGATAAATTCCACGTTTCCAGGAGTTCTGGGGGCAGGGGAGAGAAGAGGGTTGGTTTCTCATATTTGAAGTCCTGCTAAATCATGATGCTGACGTTTTATTTAGAGAGCTTGTGGCATTCACTTTGTATGTGGGATCTGCATTTCTCACATATTTCAGTTTTGCATTCTGAGAGCAACTTTTGACAGCATCTCTCAGCTTGTGGTGGGCCCTTTGAGCACCGCAGGGCTGGAGTTCTCACAGTGGTGGCTGTTCAGATCTCACTGAGAGTCTGCAGGCCGTGCAGGCTTTTAGACGCAGGAGGGTGCGGTGGACGGCAGTGGTCTTGTTTGGAGCCCCCCTTGGCTGCCTGCTCGTAACTTGAGTTTTCTGAGCCTCAGTTTCCTCATCTGTAAATTGGAGCAAAAGTTCTCTTCCTAATTGTCCAGCAGGGTGACTATAGTAGTGCAGTGAGACAGCATTTAGGAAAATATTGGAATGTCCCAAGTCCTGCGAGGATGCACGTTACTGGGGAGAACTGAATTCTCTGCCAGAACAGAAGGCCTTTGGAGTCCCTGTGCATTTAGCCACCTCTTTCTTAAAACCAGTCTCTTAAAGCCATTTGTGTGTGTCCGTGTCAGTTTCTTAAAGCAATGTCATAAATTAAAAAAAATGTTTTGGCTGCATTGGGTTTTTGTTGCTGCACGTGGGCTTTCTCTAGTTGCGGCGAGCGGGGCTACTCTTTGTTGCGGTGTGCGGGCTTCTCATTGCGGTGGCTTCTCTTGCTGCGGAGCACGGGCCCCAGGCACGCGGGCTTCAGTAGTTGTGGCACACGGCCTCAGTAGTTGTGCTCGTGGGCTCTAGAGCACAGGCTCATTAGTTGTGGTGCATGGGCTTAGTTGCTCTGCAGCATGTGGGATCTTCCTGGACCAGGGATTGAACCCGTGCCCCCTCCGTTGGCAGGAGGATTCTTAACCACTGCACCACCAGGGAAGTCCCAGCAATGTCATAAATGTGTGTGTGTGTATGTGTAGATTTATAGATGTATATATATGTATTTTTTTTTCCTGCTTTGAAGAGAATCTCCAGCTAAGACTTGAAATTTACTTACATTCTCTTCCACATATTTGCCTTTGTGTCTAGCATTGGGGAGAGATGAATCAGATAAAATATTATTATTCCAGGCTTGTCTGGCCCTTATGACACTTCCCTTTTGATGTTTAGCCAAGGAGTACCACTTGCCCAAACATAATTCAACGATTATAGACTGTTCAGTCCCTTTCTATTTATACTCCTGCATCTGACTCTGAATTCCTTATAGGGGATGTGAAAAACGGGACTTCTGGGACTTCGGAGTATCTGACAACACTTAAATACCCCTAGGCATCCCTAAATTGAATGTCTAAAATAAACACTGTTTTTAAAAAATGTACCTAATGAGTGTATTTTAAAGTTGTAAAAACAAAATGACATTAACAAAACTTTTTTTTTTTTTACTCATGATAGAGACATTTAGAATTATAATGTTGGTTATAATGTTCTTATCACTGCAATTACTCAGGGAATTTCTAAAGTCTGGGTTTCAGTAAATGCATCATAAATTCTAACTGTAATTCAGATTGTTCTTGTTAATGTTTATATTAAACATAACGGATGGAAAGTCGTCCTAAGACTAAGCATGACTCAGAACCTGGTTTCTGTTGCTTTAGGCTGAATCATTAGTAGCTTTTTTTTTTTTTTTTGCGGTACGCGGGCCTCTCACTGCTGTGGCCTCTCCTGTTGCGGAGCACAGGCTCCGGATGCGCAGGCTCAGTGGCCATGGCTCACGGGCCCAGCCGCTCCGCGGCACATGGGATCCTCCCGGACCGGGGCACAAACCTGTGTCCCCTACATCGGCAGGTAGACTCTCAACCACTGCGCCACCAGGGAAGCCTCATTAGTAGCTTTGAATATGTTTCTGCTGAGTTGTGGGCTGACTCAGAATGATAAATATCTGTGAGGGACTCCAAATCCTCATCATTAGTCCTGTGAAACTTGTAAGTCATAAAGATGCATGCTGCACATGGGTATTTAGTACATCAACATGGAAGCAGTTATTAAAATACTAAGGTGAAAAATACTCCTCTTAAACTACTGAGAACATCACAGGCTAGGAAGGTATTTCAGTGTCATCCTTAAAAAAATGCCTATTAAGGTGGTGGGGTCATTGGCATGAGGAAGGCCGGAGGTTCTTGATGTCTTTTTATTGAGGAGTTTATAAATCATCCCCCTCATTAAGTAGCAGACTAATGGATGATGTTGTAAACATGCTTATCTTGAAAAAACATAATTTGCTAAATTTTTCACTTCCTTTAGTAAGTAGTGGTTTAGATGAAAATCTGATTCAGTTCATGGTAGAATAATACAAGGAAACACAAACAAAATATGTTTAAAATGTAAAAGTAGAGGAAAGGTATGACGTGAGTACAGGTTAGGTTTTTGTAGTTATCCTCTGAAATTGAGTGTTTTCAGAATGGACGTCCAAGAGGCAAATGGACAGCTTGTTCAAGATCCCACAGTCAAATCTCAGTTTTGTTCTCACACACACTCATTTGCTTCTAAAACAATCCATTTAAAATGTAACTTTCATTGTAAACATTTTGGAAACTACTGAAAAGTATAAAGAAGAAAATTAAAGTAACCTGTAATGCTACCACCTAGAGATAAACAACATTTTGGGGTGTTACAGTATATATATAATTCTGAATATTTAAAAAAATTTTATGTAATATAGTAAATATTTCCCATGATTAATAATTTATTTGAAATGTGCTTATTAGTGACTGTATAATATTTCATTGTAGGGATTTACCATGATTTATTTTTTTTTGGTTTTTTTTTGTCTGTTTGGTTTTTTTTTTCAACATCTTTATTGGAGTTACCATGATTTATTAAGTCATTACCCTGTTGGCCATTTATGTTGCTTCCAGTTTTTAAAAACAGATGAATTCTGATATTGGCATTCTTGTGTATAACCTTTCGGTCCATCTCTGTTGCCTCAGAGCAGGTTCTTAGAAGTAGATTTACAGGATCAGAGGTTATGAAGGATATTAAGAAATTTACATATGGTTGCAGTGCTTTCTAGAAAAGTTGTTACATGTTCATCAGCATTGTTAAACCTTTTCCAAGATGATGATTTACCTGATCTAATCAGCCACTCCTTCTAGGAAAGGAAGGAACATTCATTAAGCCCTGATCTGTACTTCATCTCATTTCATCCTCACACCAACCCCGTGAGCCAAGGACCCCTGTCCTCCCATTTCACAGATGAAGAATCCTGCCCAGGGCGAGTGAGAGACTTTCAAAGGTCACATCACCAGAAAATGGGTGGAGTGGTTGGTTATGCAAGCTCAGGCTGTCTGATCCCCAAAGTCATTTTCTTTCTAAATTTCCAGGGTTCTCCCCTATGTAATATTTATATTCATCATTGTCTAGAGAACAAGTTCTAATTTTATTTTCTAAACTAAACATGCAAGTTGGAGACCACCTAGCGCTTCAGTGGACACTTCATAAACATTTCTGAGGCTCTCACATCCCCCCTCCCCGCCAGCGCTCAGGAAACACACAACAGAAGTCTTAGAGGGCTCTCGAGCCAACCAGGTAAGCAGCCACCTGCACTCCTCAGCATGCAGACATGTTCATTATACTCCTAGGTAAGGAACGTTTTGCAAAGGTAGAAATATTGTCTTTTTCCTATTTCACACAATCATGCAAAATCTCTAAAAAGAAAAATTAGAGCTTTAAGAAGCAACAAAGATAAACCATGCCGTTAATATCACAAGGAGAGATTTCTTTTGATTTGTTAGTAAATGTATCTGTGTCCTTTCTGCCTAATTCCAAAGGCCCCCCACCCCTTGCAATCACTGAGGAAAAAAAAAAAAAAAAAGACTTCTGATTATTGGCTGGTTTCTGTTCCAGGTGTGTGAATATCCTGATGGGACCAAGTCTTTGAAACTGGGAGACTTCGGGCTGGCCACTGTGGTAGAAGGCCCTTTATACACAGTCTGTGGCACCCCGACTTATGTGGCCCCAGAAATCATTGCTGAAACCGGGTATGCCTCCTGGGGGTTTGGGTTAGTGCTTTAACTTTGGGAAAGGGTATATTTTGCTGCTACTCCTGCTGTGTATTCACATGCCTCTTGGGAATGTGGAGGGCAGGAGAGACTGTTACCTGCACCATGATTTTGATCCCAGGAGCTTGAGTTTGTGCTCCTAGTTCCAAGAGCCCTAGGCCTGGACTTCTGTCCCAAGGCCAGTCTTGGAGTCCCCAAGATGGTGGTGAGGTTGGGAGAAGAGCAGACACATTTTGTCCAGAGGGTAATTCATTCCTCTACATGAAATGAGCAGTTTGGTACCAAAAGGCCTTTTTTCCCTAACAAACAAAGGCAAGTACTCCAGTAATGTGCAGGGTTCCTGGGAGTAGTATCACTGTTTCTCTCCTCCCACCCACTTTGTTTCCCCAGCTATGGCCTGAAGGTGGACATTTGGGCAGCTGGCGTGATCACGTACATACTGCTCTGTGGATTCCCACCCTTCCGAAGGTCAGTGGCTCTTTGAATGACAATATTTGAATTGTAAACCCTCTCCCTTTGATCAGGAAGCAGACATTCTACTTCTGGCAATCAGGACCAGAAACTGCTCAATAAAAATGTCAGTTAAAAATTACACAAACATACCTTTCACTTTTTTATCTTAATTTACAACCTATTAATGTATATTCCTTGTCCACACTTTTGATGTGAGGCCAAGGCCTTTGCTTTGTGTTTGGTCCCCTGAGTTTCCTGCGGTCATTCTTCCGTAAAACACACCCATAGTCCAGTGTCTATGATTTCCATTCTCAGTCTTTTTCAAGAGGAATAGATTTAAAGATCCTTGTGAAGCAATCTGATCCTTCCAGGTAAGCCTTTTTCTAGTTCTTAAGAGTTGTCTTTTCTACTTAATTCGACAGCAGTTTTTTGGTTTGGTTTTTTTTTAATAAATTTATTTATTTATTTATTTTTGGCTGTGTTGGGTCTTTGTTGCTACGCACATGCTTTCTCTAGTTGTTGAGAGTGGGGGCTACTTTTTGTTGCCGTGAGCAGGTTTCTCACTGAGGTGGCTTCTCTTGTTGCGGAGCACGGGCTCTAGGAGCACTGGCTCAGTAATTGTGGCTCACGGCCTCTAGAGCACAGGCTCAGTAGTTGCGGCGCATGGGCTTATTTGCTCTGTGGCATGTGGGATCTTCCCGGACCAGGGCTCGAACCCGTTTCCCCTGCATTGGCAGGCGAATTCTTAACCACTGTGCAACCAGGGAAGCCCCCTCAACAGCAGTTTTTTTTTTTGGCAGTACTCGGGCCTCTCACTGCTGTGGCCTCTCCCGTTGTGGAGCACAGGCTCCGGACGCGCAGGCTCAGCGGCCATGGCTCATGGGCCCAGCCGCTCCGTGGCACGTGGGATCTTCCCGGACTGGGGCACAAACCCGTGTCCCCTGCATCGGCAGGCGGACTCTCAACCACTGCGCCACCAGGGAAGCCCTCAACAGCAATTTTTAAACAACTCACTTTGCAAAGCATTCGACCTAGTTCTTGTAGAAACAGGGAATTCTTTCTTTTTAAATTTATTTTGTCCGTTCACATAATATTAAGTAGAATTACAAATACTTTTGGCATAAACAGAACTGGGAACAGCAGATTGACCCTTGGTGACCCTGCACCTCGCCTGGTGGCCACACATGGTGTTTGGGTGTGTGCTGGGGTCCACAGAGTGCACTCGCACCCAGCAGTCCATGACTAGGGGGCGTGTGGGGCTTTGACACAGCATCTCTTTTGATCAGTTCTGTCTCCCTCTTTGGAGCAAATGAACACTTTGAAGCAGAAGTTCATCTAATGGTGCATGTTTGATTTTCCTCTGAGTTTTCTTGAATGCTCTTTTCCTTTTAATCCCTTCTTTGTTCATTTTACAACTCTTTGTAGAGTAGCTCCTGTGGGCCAGGTACTATTCTAAGTGCTGGGAATCGAGTGGTGAACAAAACATATTCTCTGAGGCCATAGCGTTTACATTGTAGTATTCGGTCAGTAAGTGAAAAATAAGTTTATTCCATTACCCCCCCCACCCCGCATTTTATTGTGAAAGCTTTCAAAGTTGAAAGGTTTATCTTTTTTAAATGATCAATTTTTAATTGAGTTGAACAGGTTTTTTTTTTTTTTGGCTGACACTAAACACAAGAATGACAGAGATGTCTGTCTCTACTTGTGAGAGCCTTCTGGTGTAGATACATCACGAGAATGTTGATCAATCAGAATAACTGAGCATATGAGGTCATGCTAAGTTGGGGGCTAGAAATCACAAAAGGTTTCGTGAAAGATATGACATTTGCGTGGGACCTTGTCCTTGTGGCATGGGTTACGTTTCTGTAGGTGGAAAGTTCTTTCCATCTGGCCATCAACATCATGGTTTTCCATCAAGATCATTGCTCAGGTGGGTTATACAGACTGTAGGATTACTGGACGTATCAGCTTTTGCTGAATAACAAACTTCCCCTAAAGGCAGGGGTGGAAATCATTCTGTGAGTCCATTGAGCAGTTCTTCTGCTCTGGGCTGGCTCAGTGGGGGCGTGAGGTCCAGTGTAGCCTCACTCATATGCCTGGTAGTTGGCTCAGTGTCAGCTGGGAAACAGATATGACTTGGCCATGTGCCTTTCAGCGTCCGGTGGGCTAGCATGGGCTTCACATGATGGTGGATACAGGATATCCCAAAGCAGCCAGAGCACTTTCCAAGTCTCTGCTTGCCGCACATTTCTTCATTGATGTCCCGTTGACCAAACGAAATCAAATAGCTAAGCCTGGGGTAAATGTGGGAGAAGGTTAAGTGTGTACATGGAGGGGGATCATTTGTGGCTATTTTTACAGTCACACTGTGCCCTGGCTGGTTTCAGTGATGACTTGTTTTGGGAAGTAGTCAAGTGGTTTGTTTTTTTTTTTTGCGGTTACGCGGGCCTCTCACTGCTGTGGCCTCACCTGTTGCGGAGCACAGGCTCCGGACGCGCATGCTCAGCGGCCGTGGCTCATGGACCCAGCTGCTCTGCGGCATGTGGGATCTTCCCGGACCGGGGCATGAACCCGCGTCCCCTGCATCGGCAGGTGGACTCTCAACCACTGCGCCACCAGGGAAGCCCCTAGGGTAGTGGGTTTTGATAGCAAGTAATTCTAGGACCACTTACAGTAGAGTTTCCCTCCTTGGTTAACCCAAGTTAAGAGCAGTTGGAAAAGGGTATCAGGGATCAGTTGTAGAGGAATGTGGGCTCACAACTCCCTCTAGTGTTGCCACTTGCCAGCGCAGCCTGGGAGTTTTTTCTTTGACTTTGCTTTTTACTTTTTAACAAAAGTGAGACTCAGATCGAACAACATGTATCTATTGTGACTTGTTATCCAATGGACAGCAGCAGCTTTGCGGGATCTTGGGATAAGTCTGGCTAATCAAAAGCAGTAAAACTACATTCTGAAAGCTGCTGCCTTAGATGTTATATTCAGAAGCTGGTCCTACAACTCTAGATAGCTTACTTTTGAAAATGTTTTCCCTCTTTCATACCGTGTTGTGATGAAAGAGAATCTGTTATGTTAAATACGAGTTACAGAAACATCTTCACAGCGTACAGAGACATTCTGGATAGATTTTATAACCTTCTATAATATAAAATATATTTATTTTTATATATTTTATATATCATATATATATAAATTATGGAAGTGGTCCTTTAAAGAATGATAAATGACTATGGTATAAGACAGATTATCTACTTAAATTTGTACCTAAAATAAAGTCCTTCAAACAGATATCTCAAAATATTTGTCTTCTACAAAAGATGATTTTCACCCAAAGCTTTTTAATTAAAATTGTTCCTTGGAATTGACAGTTTCAGCTTCTTTCACTGTAGCATCTCTCATTCTTCTTTTAGGGTTTTCGGGCTTTAGTCTTGGGCTGACATATATTTTCCCTCCAGTCTTTTCAACACCAGATTCATTGCTACTGAGAAGGATGTTGGTTTTTCAGAGGCAACTAGAAGTTTAGTTATTGCCTAAGCAAGTCTGTTCTTAGGGCCACTGACAAGTAATACTTGCCTGACTATGCTGAGGTATTTGATGTTTCTTTTAAAGACACACACATACATACCCCCCTTGAAGTCAAATGTTTGCACATCATTTGTGAAATAGCTTACAACATTTTTTCAGGTTACCTCGTCCGACCTTTAATGACTTGGCATTGGAAAGAGTGTACACAGACTCTTTTGCTGTTTTCAAAGTTTTTCTTAATGGGCATTTTCATACTTACAGCACTGTACTATTTAAGCATTAAAAAGTGCCTGAAGCATCTCAGCCAGATTGTACAGTGTAAATGTGTTAATGAATCCAGGGAAGATTTAATCAGAGAGGCTTTTATTATGTGACTACTAAGAAGGATCAATTCTCTTCAGCTCTGCTCTGTGAGGGCAGCCCGAAATTCCCAAAGCTCTTGCAGTTCACAGCACGGGTCCTGAGGGTGCCATTCTAATTGCCAGGATCCTGGGGTTTTGTTGTTGACTTAGGCTGTTTTGCCAAGGACCTAAATCCTGCAGACACACCCCCAATGTTTTAGCTGTTTGTTAACAAAATAAAAGCCATAGATATTAAAATAACATAAGCTAGTTGAGGTTCCAGGAAAATACCAAAAAGGAGATGAGTGCAGTCATAGAGAGGAATGGCTAAAAAGAACAAATTCTGGAAATGGCTGACTTTTTTCTGTCTCCTTCTAACATTGTCTCCTGGGGTCCTCCAATTTTCTAAAGATTTCTGTAAAATCCCATTGTGTTCTTAGATGCATCCTTTACTCATTTTTTTTTTCATCCTTTACGCATTTTGAAGGAGAGTTGAGCTGAATTAAATCAGTAGAGAAGTAACAGTGAAAAGGAGAGAAAATATTTAGACACCTAGAAAGAGTCTGTGCTCACTCCAAGAATATCACTTTTTAGGAGAGCGAGGTGGGTGGGGGCATCTTTTGCCTCGTCCGGTGATCTGGCCTGACTTGTGCTGCTCTGTGTGCTGCGTGACCCAGACGTCATGGACCAGCGGTGTCGATTCCACTGGGCTTGGTTAGAGGTCATGAATGTTCACCGGCCCACAAACTCTACTCTTTTTTTCCTAGAACAGGAACGAGGCAGCCATCTCATCACACAGCCCCCAGATTTGTCGCTGGACACTCCCCGGAGCGATGTATTTCTAGGGACACCACACTTGCCCTTGCAGACCCTGGAGGGCTGGTAGCATGAGCAGCCTCCTGTCCAGAAGACTGGGCAGGGTCCCACGTGAGCACCCTGAGGAGTAAGTAGGCTGCAGGGAGCCTGTCGGGAGCTCCGGGAGGAAAGCTGCACCCTTGCCGAGTGAGACGGCACTTCGCTCCTGGAGTTTGATCTTGACCCCAGCAGTGCATCCTGAGTTTTCCCCTAGGGCTTCGTGGTGGCCTAGAAAGCCAGTGACTGTGCTCTCACTCTGGCCGTTGACGTGCCCGCCGAGGGGAGGGGCTCTGTGGCCGTGGAGATGCAGTTTTCTGGGAGGTAGCGGACGCCCAGCTTCCTGAATTTTTCCCAGCAGTGTTTCCATGGCGCCAGCCATAAAAAGTCAAGTCATCATTTATCCTGTAGGCACCAGCTGTGTCTGCAGATGCACCTTGGGGGGGGGGGCAGGTAGGCACAGGGTGGGGAGGTATGTTCACCCAGGGGTGGCGAGGTGGGTTTGCCTCAACCGTGCAGTTCTCTAGTCGATGTCCTTGGATGGGCTCTTTGTCTCCGACTGAGCTTCAATGAAAGGCAAGTTCCAAAGCGGGGAGCACATTGTGTCATGAATGTTTATCCAGATTCTGAACTCCTTGTGATGTTTTCATATGTTGGCTACTTCACTGATCTTTGGCTGTTTTCTTGGAAGAGTAGAAAGAGGAAGGACAAGGAGATCTGACTCAAATGTGCTGCTTTTCCCCTCTTACTACCACGAGAGACTGAGGGCCGGTGCTGAGCTTGTTTTTTTGCTGAAATGAGGATTTACATCATTTGTGGATGCCATTTTTTTCTTGAGTCTTTTTTTATCGTGGAAAAATATATGTAACGTAAAATTTATCATTTAAACCATTTTTAAGTGTATAGTTTTAAGGGTTAGGTGGTATTAAGTACATTTACAATGTTGTACAACCATCACTACCGTCCATCTCCGGAACATCTTCGTCTTTCCACGTTGAAACCCTGTACCTACTGAACAAAGTTCTTGCATCTTTGTCTCTTCTCTCTCCCCGCTCCCTCTCTTCCCCCCCCTCCCCACACACACACACACACACACCTCCCTCTTTCTCTGTGATTCCCAGGCCGGAAATGTTCTTCGGTTCTTTGTCTAAAAGGGAGAGAGTGTCATCCCAAATGCAGTTGAGATCCACAGCTGAGCTATGAAATGCCCAAGCCAGAGAGACTGGACTCCTCCCCCGCCTTCCCATGAGCATTTTGTTAAAAACTGTATGGTGACTCTGACTCTTTCTCTGTTTCTCCATCACTGACTTAGTGAGAACAATCTCCAGGAAGATCTCTTCGACCAGATCTTGGCTGGGAAGCTAGAGTTTCCGGCCCCCTACTGGGACAACATCACAGACTCAGCCAAGGTACCCATCCAGGCCCGTTTCTAGGGGTTGCGTCGTGTTGAGGGTCCTCACCCATTGTGTGGGGCTGTAGCAGCTCTTGGTGTTGAGCTCCGTGTCTGTCTTGACTTTTTTTTTTCTTTTTTTTGTGGTACGTGGGCCTCTCACTGTTGTGGCCTCTCCCGTTGCGGAGCACAGGCTCCGGACGTGCAGGCTCAGCGGCCATGGCTCACGGGCCCAGCCGCTCCGCGGCATGTGGGATCCTCCCGGACCGGGGCACGAACCCGTGTCCCCTGCATCAGCAGGCGGACTCTCAACCACTGCGCCACCAGGGAAGCCCCTGTCTTGACTTTTAATGTGTGGTTCTTCATTAAGTTCCTTCCTCAGTGTGGTCTCTGAAATGCTTAACCAAATTCTGAAAGCTGGACTGGCTGTCGTCCCAGTTTGCCACTACCATCCTCCTGTGCTCCTCTAAGCCCTAAACGTTTGTTCTTTCATTTATTCAAGAAATGTGTTACGGACACCCGTCAGACTATAGGGGTGGATTTGTGAGACCTGCTGAATTGCCAAAAGGAGCAGCACTTCAGTTCTGCGCTGTGGAATGATGACAATGGCTGGAACTCTTAGGAGAGAACATCTTGGGTTTAATGTAGATTCGGGAGAGACCTCTTCCTCTCTCAGTGCCACTGACAGGAGGCAGCTGTGTCTGTGTAATTGCCTCCTAGGCACGGGCAGTGGAGGTGATAATAGCTTTTGCATTCAAATGGCTGAGCAGCTGTGTTGGCTGTTTTTTGAAGTACTTGGTGCAAACTCAAGATTTCTGTGTTGATGCTGGAATTACCCCCTGTCGCCTGCTCTATCACCTTCTTTATTTCTTTCCAGGAATTAATCAGTCAAATGCTTCAGGTAAACGTTGAAGCGCGGTGCACTGCGGGACAGATCCTGAGTCACCCCTGGGTATCAGTAAGTACCCACGTCCCCGGGGAACTGACATCTCTGTGTCCTGTGGCCAACAGCGTGCTTCCTCACCAGGGCTTTTGCGCAGGCAAAGTTCCGCATCCAAGTTCCGTGGAGGATTAAATGTCTGTTTTCTCTAATGAGCAAGTAGCATGAAGGCACTTCTCTGGGAGAAAGCGGTTGGCACCAGGATCCCGCCCTGTGAGTGACCTGGCACGTCACTGTCCCTTCCTGGGCCTCAGTTTCCTTGTCTGTGAGAAGAAGGGTTTGGCCAGGATGCTCTCTAAGGAGCTTTTTCTGTCATCCTGGGGTTTGAGAGTTTTTAGGATTTGCCCAGAGATGAGCCTGTGTCAGACCCTGGTCTCTGTCTTCATGGCACGTGGTCCCAGGAGCACTCCTGCTGCAGGCGGCGTGGCCGGGATGCGGTCCTGCCAGAGATAGGCAGAGGATGTGTGACGTTGCCTGGAATTTCTCTGAGCTTGGGCGGTGGCTCTGGGCTCGTGGTAAACACGATCCACGAAATGGCAACAGCAGGAGAGGCTGCGTCCCCCTCAGTCCTGGAGGCTCCGGGACAGTGACGTTAATTCAGGGGCTTTTGCTGACTTTGGCTCCCCAGGCACCTCTGCCACCCACTGTCCCACATGTCCCGACCTTTCCGTTCAAACTCTCTGGGTCCTGCTAAGTGACTTGGCTCTTGGGCCAAGTAGCTGAGATGCCATATTTTTTAAATGAGCGATCAGGACTAACAGCTACCTGCATTCTTGATTAAAATGATAAACTGTTCATGAATTTTGATGTTTCCGTGGGAGGGCTCTATACTAAATTAGGTGGCATTTGTGCTGCGGGGAAAGGGTCTCAGAACCCTGTAGAATGTCCTTGTGCCACTGGGACCTCTGCCCTCTCCTCGGCCCCCTTCAGACCTAAGGAGGGAGGTGAATGGCAGAGGGTCTTTCCGAGGGCAGGGGACTGGTGAATAATGGTAATCATTTCTAATTACTTCACTTAGATGGTTCCCCCGACCTTGTGGCTCAGATGGGCCCATTTAGGAGGAGATGGTGGTGGTGACGGGCTGGTGTGTGACTGCTGAGGAAGAGACAACATAGACGTGAGAATCAAAGGCAGTGTATTTGATTCTTTCCTGTAGGACGATGCCTCCCAGGAGAATAATATGCAGGCTGAAGTAACAGGTAAACTCAAACAGCACTTTAATAACGCGCTCCCCAAACAGAACAGCACCACCACCGGGGTCTCCGTTATCATGGTAAGTAGAACGGGTGGTTCTGCTCTTGGGCAGCTGCAGCGTCTGGCTCACTGCTCGGGCCGACATCGAATCTTATCAAGTCAGCCGCCAGGCGCTTCCCTCACGCGGCCGTGGGCGCTGTCGTGTTCTTCTCCACTTCAGGAATGGCTTGGCACGTGAAGGGCACCCTTTGGCCAGCTCCCAGGCCTTAGGTCCTGGGATCAGAGGTTGCGCAGGTCCCAGCAAGGCCAGGCTGATGGGCGCCTGGCCCGGGGCGTCCCAGCCTCTTCTCCTGGGCTTGGTGGCCTCCAGGCAGCTACTTCTGTCTCATCTCTGCTTTCCCGTCTAGAGAGCGGTTCCCAAGCCCAGGTGGGACTTACAGCAAAAGGAAGTGACTCCCTGACTACTCAGGGCCTCAGAAATAGATTATTTGAGCTTTGAATGATTCTTTGGAACTTGGGATAAGAAACAGCCAGAGTTAAGCAAATTCCATTTTAAAAAGTCAGTGTTTTGTGTTTTTTAAAAGTTCAGAAGAATGAAAAAAATGTATTAGTTTTTTCAGGGTTGGTAAAATTTTATGAGAAGTCAGTTAACAGTGATCCCCATATTTTTTCAAATCTTCCTTCTTCCAAAATGTTTTTAAAAAGGCAGCTTACCTAAATCCACAAACACAGCAGATGAAAAGTGGCATTAAAGTAAGTGAAGTAGCATGAAAGTAAGTTCAGCAAATGGGAGAAGAAGGCAGAAAAAATAAAACTGAGCCAGAAGCGTGGCGCGCACCCTCCCACCAGCTGTCCAGACCCAAGTCCTCGCCCAAGTGGGGCCGTGAAACTGGCCCCCGGCGTGTCCGCACCTGCTCCGGTGCCGTGTGTAGAGCACGGATCCTCGGCGTGATCTCCGTCCCGCGCACAGGATCAGGGAGCCGCAGCCGGGAGTCTGGCTTTCTCCAGAGGCGGGGGCCTGAGCTGGGTCTTGGCCACCCCAGTACTGAGGGGATCTGTGGAGCCGGACAGCTCCGTCACCCTGACCTCAGGACAGGCCCTCACCCTCTGCAAAGGCTCGATGTCCTAGCGACTGGGAGGAAAACAGTTGCTTATTCTCAGGGCGCATCGTAGCCTCGGAAGCTTCCCAGCGAGGACCCGGGTCCAGACAGAGGCAGAGAGAAGCCCCGCCCCCTCGTGAGTGCGGGGAGGCGGGCTGCTCCTGGAGCCTCCACCACCGTCCTGGCACCTCTGCACCGTCCTCCTCCCCCGGGGTGGGTGGCGGCGCTCCCCGCTCCAGTCCCCAGGCCAGGCTTGCAGGCTGATGTGCTGCCGGACTCGCGAGTGGGGGTGATGATGGACTCCGGGCCGAAAGAGCGGGAAGGCCTCTTGAGCTGTGGTTTTCCTGGCATCTCAGCAGTGTTCTGCAGAGAGCCTGAGAAAGTCAGAGTTGTCACGGAGTGTCAGCTTAAACCCTTTGCAAAGAACCATCTTGACTGAGCATGAGAAAGTTCTCAGGCGGTTCACCCTTGAGAGCAAGGCTGCCGGCTGGGGTAAGGGGTCACCGCCCTGCCTCCGGCTGCGTTGTTAGGCAGCTTCTGGGGAAATTTACAAAAATTTAAAATTTAAAAAATTTAAAATTTAAAAATGCGCGCAGGGCTTACGGCAGCTCCCCCCTCATTCCCTGGGTCACCTGTCAACTCACGGCCCAGATGGGAATGGATGGCCCAAGGCCTGTGGCCCACCAAGGTTCTGGAATGATCAGCCCTTCTGCCTTTTGGCCCAGTATAGGCTCTGTTCTGGTTAAGGACGTTTAGGTTCTCTCAGACAGAAACTACATCTCACGGTTTACAAATGGCATTTTTCCATTTGCTGATGGATTTCAACTGTTAAATTTCAAACTCCTGAGCTTTAACCGGATGTTTGTGTGAACGAACAATGCTTTATTGTGATTCCAGCGGTGATTGTGAAAGTTGTGTGTTCCCGTGTGTGTTCAGTGTCATCTTGGGCATGTTGGTAGGGTTCCATCTAACCCCGCATTCCGTACACAACTCCACAGCTCGTTAGCTCTGGGGAGGTGCTGACGACGTCATCATGCTCACTGCCTACGGGGGAATCAGTAGAGCCTGCCTCTGGGGGTACCAGTTCTCCATGGCCAAAAAGCTGGCCTGTGAATTCTGGCTTGTCCCCCAGAACAGCGGTGAGCAGGCCTCCGCAGGGATGTCATACTCATCCTTCCCCGACCGAGGACCTGGTGTGGTTGCGTCCGGGCAGCTTGCAAGGCTTCTGTGTCGTCTGCCTAGCTCTCTTCACCAGTACTGTGCGTCTTTGTGTCTTGCCCTTGGGAACAGTTTCAAGTGTTTTCTTAAAAATCATTATTCACAAATGAGTCTCCCTGGTATTTATATGTTCTCATAACTGGGGTATGTGAGGCTCATGTGGTTTCCTACAGATACAAATAGCAGTGGAAACAGGGCATAAATGTTCCGAGGCGGAGCCCTCAGGAACGGCTGTGTCGCTCCCAGACGGAACCTTGCTCTCCGCTGCCACCCCTAGTGTTCTCTCTGCCTTGGCCCCCCACGCCCCCCAAAGGATTGGAGCCTGAGGCTCTGGTGAGAAAATAATAGGGTAGGAATGGTAAATAACGGTGCAAGAAAGTCAAGTTGATGCTGTTGTCTGCATTTTGTTTGACAGTTTGATTTGACAGTTTGAGAGACACTTCAGAGTTTCACTCTGTACCCCGTTGAGACTCTGGGGACCCCGGAGCAGAATTCTGGTATTCAACATGCTATGCTTCATCAGAGCCGCCTCTAATTGTCACCCCTCTTCAATCTGCATGCTTCTCTTGGACTTTGACACCAGCATCCAGCTCTCAGCTCCTCATGGGTGCAGGTCTCCTGTACCTACTGACACCCGTTTCAGCCAAACGCAGCCTTGGAAACTTTACTTAAAACTTCTCGCCTTGCCACGTTGCCTTCCTTCCCAGACCAAAAGCTGGCGAGTGCACGGGAGGAGAACTCCAGTCGTTCTCCTGCTAAAGGCTGTTTTTCACTTAGGTGAAAAAGCATCTTTTTGTGAATGAGAGCATAAGATGGGGACCTTTGTGAAGGCTTTTGTTCTCTTTCTGCAAATACATTTCCAAAGATGCATTTTTAGCAGTAAGACAGTGTAGGGTCAGCTAGGCTTTGGGATAGGAGAACACGATTGGATAGGATTTTGGTTTAAGATGGGCCTGTGGTTTCTGAATGCACTTGCATTTACTCTGGCTTATCCTTAGATGCTTAAGAAAGGACCGTGCACCTGCAGAGGGGGCTCACCACCTCGCCCAGAAGAGGCCATCTCGTGGTGGGAAAGGGAATGATAAGAAACCCCTTCTCGCTGCATTTTGTAGCCTTGTAGCTGACTGGAGAAAGGATGGATTCAAAAAGAGTGCTTCCCCACTCGGGGATTATGCTTCTTTCGGGGGGGAAGCTGGGAAGGATTTGGGCTTAAGATAGACAAAACTGTTTCGACTGTGTTGCTTCTGTTGAAAGTAAGTCTAGTTTCTGTCCCCGCTTCTCTCCTTGCCCCTCTTGCCTCTCACGCCGCCTGCATTGCTTTCCTCTGACTAGGTCCCAGGCGATGGTATGTACTAACTGCACAGCAGTGCTTCCTTCCGCTGCACACATGCGTCTTCTTGACGGGAAGGGAAGAGGAGAAATAACTGCGGGACTGTTACTTTCTTCTACCCAGGGGAAGTTTTATGGTAGAAAAAAGTGAATGCCACCTCTCCCCGCTTTCAGTGTTTTCACTGAGGGGTGGCCTGGCCTCTGCTCATACTGGGAGCTTGGAAGCTTGTTAAAGAGCGATGCTGAGTTTCTGATTTGGCTTGTCCACAGTTACCTCTTCTCCAGGTAACGGAAATTGTCCTTGGCAATCCCTGAGCGTTCAGCCCGAGCTGGGAAGGGCCTGTGGAGAACACCTGTCTTCCAGTTGACACCAAGTGCCCCAAAGGCAGCCGCCCAAGTCTGTCCTAGGAAGCCCCATTGTTCATATTTTCTCCAGACTTTTTTTTCCTTCCAGCAAGAGTACTGGAAGAATCAGTGGTGCATTTCCCCCTTAAGGTCGTTAGACCACAAAAGGACTTCTGGTCCACGTGCCTTGTAGCTAAAGGTGCCTGAGAACCGAAAGCTCCGCACGTTTGGAAAACCCAGTGAGAGGGCTGCTGGCCCGGCCTGCCTGGCCGAGCAGAAGTCCGCAAGCCCACTCAGAGGAGGAGGAAGGCAGGTCAGGGCCAACCTCCCAGGCTAGGGTCAGGAGGTAAGACGACTTCTGCGCCCCTGGAGCAGGGGAGCAGGTTAAAGCCCTTGGGGGTGTGACAGGATAAGACACCTGCACAAAGAAGAGAAGAGCAGGGAGGAGATGGTGGAGGATGGAACGATGGGTAATGCAGCGCCATCGATTCCCAGGGCTTCCATAGGTTATGGGGCACCGGTGTGATGCAGGGGTGGGAGGTACTTACTATAGATGACCTGTGAGTACTCTTCGAATCCCTGACGGGGAACCTTCTTTAGAAGAGTTAGCTGTCAGGGACCTCGCATTCTTATGGGGTTTGCTTCTTGTCCAGGACTCTTCTGGGCTCAGGGGCATGGGGAGAAGCGCCCCGAACCCAGGCAGCTGGGAGCCGGAGCCGGGGAGGATCTGCCCAGGCCGCGTCCAGGGCAGTAGGAGCAGAGGCCGCGGCACCGGGGACGGGCTGGCCCGTGGGCCGCCGTCGGGGGCAGCCGGGCGTTACTTCTCCTCTACTGTTCCCGCCGTGCATGCTCTGCGCGCCCTGCTCGCGGTGCCGGGACCGAGGCGGCGGGCTAACTGTCTCCTGATCTCTTCTCAGAACACGGCTCTAGATAAGGAGGGCCAGATCTTCGGCAGCAAGCTCGGCGCGGACGGCAGCCGGCCCGGCCTGGAGCCCGCTGCCCCGGAGCCCGCTGCCCCGGAGCCCCCTGCCCCGGAGCCCTCTGCGTCCCCGGAGTCGCCCCCGCGCTCTCCTGCGGCCGCCGCCGCGGAGTGCGAGCGGGCGGGGACCTGGCGCCGCCACCGCGACTGACCGGCTGCCGCCGCCGCCCGCATCGCTGCCCGCACCGCGCATCGCATCGCATCGCATCGCCGGGGTGGAGAGCGCGCGCCTCCAGGGCCACCGCTTCCCGCGCGCTCCGCTCGGGTCCTGGAGGGGCCTGTGCGCGTCGCCTTCGGGGACAGGTCCTCGGAGTGGCTTCGTTTAAATTCTCTGTCTTCTCAGTTCAGTGGACATTTGACGGCGTCACCAGGAGAATGTGCAACTTTTATCTGACATTGAGCGCATTTTTATAGAAACACTTTGGATGCACCAAGATCTCTCTCTTATTTAAGTAAACTCAGGAGGGCTCCCTTTTTCTTACAAGCAACTCAGAACTGCGTCTGTCCCTTTGTGGGCGCCCTTCCTCTGCTGACGGGGGTCGGGGGCTGGCTTCCCGCGCAAGGCTCGGAGCCCGAGCGGACACGCTGGTCCCGGTACTCCGCCCAGCCTCGGGGGCTCGTCTAGGACGACACTGGCTCTGGACTTGTGTGCAGACCGCAGGGAAGGCCGTTTCTTCCCTCGAAGTTGTGTTTCCCTGACTCTTCCCACGACCGTATTAGGAAATGCTGACGACCTTGTCCTTGGGGCTTTTTAACGAGAGGCATGGTGCATGCCGAGTCGCCGGGGCGCTTCCTTCTCCAGGTCCGGCTGCGGGCAGAGCAGGACCAACCAGCGGCCCCAGGAGCCGCCGGAGCCTCCCTTCTCCATCTGCTTTTCGTCTGCAGCGGCGGCAACAACCCCCAGGGAGCGCGGGGCGCAGTGGGGACTGGGCGGGAAGGTGCCTGCAGATATCCTCTGTTACTAACCTTCTGGAAGGCTGCTGGCAGTTTTTCCTTCTTTTCCACCACCCTGCTCTTTTTTAATGATTGTATATAATCAGTGAATTTGTTTTACCTGCTCATCTTCTAAACGGGTGGGCCTGTAGTTCATTCTCATTGTTAGACTTTTGCCGCCTACAAGTGTATCCAATAAACTTTTCCTTCTTGAGAAATAGCCGTCAGGGTGGGTAGAGGTTCCTGCGTGGTGGTTTTGCAAAGAGTGTGTGGTCAAAGCAACACCTCCCCGGCCCAGGTTCTGGCTGGTGCCGGTGTTTGTTTTTGTCTCGGGGTCGCAACGGGGAAGAGAGGTGCTTGGGAAGAACACACGGAGGTGCACCTGGAAGTGTGTTTGATTACAGGTGCAGAAACTCACAAAAGCTCAAAAACGAATAGAGATTATTAGTGTACAACAGAGGACTTCGATGGAACCAGAGACAGGAAGGTCAGGCTTTATAGGAAATGGGGAGCTGGGGCAGCTGTTCTCGTCTGTCTGTGTCTGTCTCAGAGACTGTGCCGTCTCCTGTCTCTGCTTCTTTCATTGCGTTTTGGCTCTTGGTTTCTGTTCCCTCATAACGTCTGCTTGCCTGGGCTCTGGCTTAGCCTGCAACTGCTTCTGTCCCCAGCTTCGCAAGGCTGTACAGCTCCACGGCTTGAAACCGTATCTTTCAGCTCTGGTTCTCTTCGTTCACATTGCTGTGTGATGATTTCTCTCTGGGCTGGTGCTGACCTGTGATCCAATCCAGAGGCAGGTGACAGGATGCAGATGGGCTTCCTGGGCACACAGCTCCAGTGGGTGCAGGCTTCAAGAGAGGGTATTGATGGGCAGGTCCAGAACATTCTGCCTGTCGCTCTTCTCACTGGTTAAAGAGCAAGCTTTTTCATAGCTTCCAATAGAAAAATGTTTGTTAATGGCAGCGAAGCGCTAATGTCAAAGAAAGAGGAGAAAAATGAGGATAGTGAAAATGAAAATGGAAGAATGACGGAGCGAGGCCTTTAGTGTACTGATTGGAGCCTGAAACTCGACCCCGTCTCTCAAACTGCAAGGTTCAAAGACGTTTGCTAAAGACTTAAGAAAATATATGGCCAGGGCAGTGCCAGTCACTGGCGACAGGAGCTGGAGCACCTTCTGTCCCGCACATGCTCCCACGTTCTGTGGCACCCTTGGGTGGCCTGGAGACAGGAGTAGGCTGAGCTGGGTGTGGCACCGTGGCCTAGCAGTGGCCAAGCAGTTCTTTAGTAATGAATCCCACAAACACCTACAGTGTTAAGCGGTGGTAAAGGAACAAGCCCAGAAGTCAGGTGACATAACCCGGGTCATAGAACTGGCAGGAGGCAGAGCCATGATGTGGTTTCAGATTCCGCGGACATCAAACCTGTGCTCTTTTGAAGGCAGCCTGTTGTCCAGGGTAAATCAAGGCCTGGACATGAGTGGTCATCTAGATGAAGATCCTAACTAAAGGCTCCGACACCACAGCAAATTGTTCATTCACCCACACATTTAGCAAACGTTATTGAGCTCTTATTCTGGTCTCAGGATCCAAATTAAATAGAGGTCCTTTATTGCTGGGTTCCTCCGCTCCCGCACTGAGAGAGAGGCATGTGCTTGGTTTATGTTCATCCCCTTATTCCAGCAGGGGAGCCATGTCTACAGAAGTTGACCTTTGAATAGAGCAAGGGAAGCAGTGACCTGCCAAAGCCATCGCGGGCTGCCTGCTGGGCCCAGCCAAGAGTCAGCGGGAGTCTGTCTCTCTTTCTTCAAAAAGGTTGCCGTGACGTGAAAGTACATGGAATATACAGATGGAAGCATTTGGCGTAACTCCCCCAGAATATCTGCATGAATAAGATTGTGAAACGTGAATCAGGAGATGGGGGACGGTTCAGAACAGATAAACCATATTGAAAGAAGAGTGCTGGGTAGTGATGCTGTCTTGGAGGAGGACTTTTAGGGCAGTTTGCCATCCCATGGAAATACAATGTAAGCCACATAATTTAACATTTTCTGGTACCATATTAAAAAAATCTAAAAAGGAACAGGTGAAATTATAGTATAGTTTAACCCAATATATCTAAATACATCCCTTTAAAGTATTATTTCAACATGTGATCAATGTAAAAAAAAAATCATTGGGATACTTTACCTTACTTCTTTGTCCTAAGTCTTTGAAACCTGGTGTGTATTGACATGTATGGCACATCTCAGGTTGGACCAGGCACAGTTCAAGCGTTTAGTAGCCTCGTGTTGCTCCGCCTGCCAAGCTGGACAGTGCAGCTCTAAAGAAAGGCCACAGCACTCGGTTTCCTTGTTCTGTTTAGTTTTGCATATGATGTGGATGACAATGCAGAAGGAACCCTTATCCAGTGTTTTAAATGGGATGGACTGATTTAAGACGATCTCAGCAGGTTAGAGCACCGATCCAAACCTGAGATGTGAAATCAAAGCGCGAAGTCCTGTGATTCAGTGGCCAAGGCCTTGGCGTTCACTGCTTCACGGGAAAGATCTGGGAGGGGAGAAGTGCAAAGAGCATCACGTCATTAGGCGCCAACAGAACTGCTTAAAGGTTAGCATAACCTTAAGCTGCATCCTGAAAAGTCCGTGCAGGTCGTGGGCAGCGTGAGTCGAGCCTCCCAGGTACGGCTCTGCACTGGGGCCTCGGGGTGTGTGGTGCAGGTGAAGCAACCATCGCCCAAAAGAAGGCAGCCAGGGTGGCGAGGGGTTTAAAGCCCTGGGAGCCAAGGACTGGTGGAGAAGCGGTCAGGTGTTGCTTAGGAAAACCCAGAGGCACCTCCGCCTGATGTGTGGCTTCACAGTGAACTGCTCTGTGGCAGGGGCTGCAGACTTCTTTTGGGCGCTCTGGGTGGTGGCCCGAGGTCAGTGGGTAGGAGGCATGAGGGTCAGGTGTGAACGCAGCGTCGCAGGAGCAGCCCGGTGACAGAATTCGCTGCTTTCTAAAGGAGCGATTGTCTAGTTCTGGGAAATGCCTAGGTGCTAAATAATAACAAAAGCTCACAGTTTGTACAGAGTTATCTCACACTGTCTTGTTTGAGCCACACCACAGCCCTGAGAGAACAGCTAACATCCCTGTTCAGCAAATGAGGAAACTCAGATGGGTCTCGAGCTGATGGAGCCTGGACATGCCTCTCCCGGCCCCGGGGCAGGTGTCCTGGGAGCTGCTGTGCCCCTCCAGGTGGTCAGGGATGCTTTAGGGGTAGCGTCTGTGTCCTAAGGTGGAGGTGGGATGGGCTGGGGAAGACACCTGACAAAGTGGTAGAAAATCGAGGCGGCTAAGAAGTTCCCAGGGCAGGGGCGTGTGAGTTCTTTTAGATGAAGGAAGGCAGTAGTCTCTCTGAGGGAGGCGGATGTGTGCAACTTTGGTTAGTCTTGGCCAATGGATTTTAAGGGGCTATTGAACTCAGTGGGGGTGTGTTACCATCGTCGAGCAGCTGAGCGGAAGAAAAAGGTATTTGGTACAGAGACTGACCTGCTCGTGCCATACTCCTCAAACAGAAGCCTCCTTCATTTGGGGCAGGGCTGGCAGCATGGCCTTTGGCGGTCAGGAGGGTTTCAGCCCGAGTCTGATGGTGTGAGGCTGGGCACCGCCTGTGCTGGCACTAGGGTCAAGCCTGGGGAGTGTCTCTCAGCTGATCCAAGTCTGAAGCTGCAGCACAGCCAGCTGCTTCTGCCAGGCTCCCCCAGAATCTTGGTTTTGGCAAGGAAAAATATTCCTGAACTTGAGACAGGAAAATGATTCACTGCATATTTCTGGCACGTGACTGCCGTGGAATTCAGAGGAACATTTGTAGGTCACCTGCTTCCCTTGCCTGCAGGTCAGACCACCCTGTTCTGTAGAAAGAACGATGTGAGGCCCTCTGGTTTGAGCAATCTGCATTTCTGGCAGGGCAGGGAGTGATGTGTCAGTGTCATTCATCGTAGCCTTGGGCTTTTATATGGGGATCATGTGATTTGGGGGACCCAGGAAATGCATCACGGACTCTACTTTTCATATCTATTGAAAAGAAAGATCCAAAAGATGTTTCTCCCACTCATCTGAGAGAAAATAGAAGAGGTAGAATTAAAAAATTTTTTTTAATTTTACTTTTTTGATATGCTACTTTATATGGTCTTTGCCTTCCCAGCTTCCTTGCTTTTCCCTGCAGTGATAACTTGAGATGCCTATGGAATTAACATCATTACACTTTATGCTACAGAAAAGGGAGGTAGCAAGGCTGACTGCTCTCCTAGTTGAAGTGGAAAACACTTTCCCTCCGTCTGTGGTGGGGCAGAAATAGCCAAGTGGAGGCACGGGCGTATTTGCGGATACGCATGGTTTATGCAGACTTTCAGATTCACGTCCTCCTCCTCTCTGTGTTTGTGAACATGCTCTGGCCTAATGTGATGTCACGTGATGATGTGAGGCTGTGGGGCTGGGCTGGCTGCTCCTCCATCATCCAACGCATGCCGGAAAGTGGCAAAGCTGCTCCATCAAGCTCAGTGTGGGATCCTTCCAACTGTTTAAAGACATTTCTGCTTCCTGATGTGGAAGGAATCTGTCCCGGGGCTGCTGGGCTCTTCAACAGTGATGGAGAGGGGGGTGGGGCTGCTGCAGGAAGGAGAACCAAACCAGGTCAGAGTTCCTGAAATCGTGTCTGGTAAAAAAGTATCAAAGATCCCGAGTGAAAATCTCTCCCGTGAAAGTCCTATCTTGGTGGATCTAAACTGTCATGTGCCATTTAAATTCAGTTATATTTGCAGAAAAAGGTGCAAAGCGGACGTGTGGTCTGGCTACATCCAGATTCCCTGGCTGTCTGCCAACTCGACCCACGTGACCTCTGCCATCTCTCTCTGCCCCTCCGACAGCAAGGTGGGAGGACACACGGCCCCAGATGTGAGGTCAGGCCCCTGGCTGGGCTCTGCTCTCGGAGCTGAATGGGAATGGGCAGCCTGGTGGTAAGCTACCGACCTCATGTGCTATACCTGGCTTCCGTGGGTCCCAGGCAGGGGACCGTCCCGCATGCTGACAAGCAGAACTGAAGTGTGGGGTTATCTCAAGGCAGAATTGTTCCTTTTCATTGGATTCATTTATTGGAACATTTATTTGTGGCTGTTTGGTCCACTTTGGGAACAAACTTCTCCTGAGTGGACTGTCCACCAGTTCTCATCCGTGTGCCTCTCAGGTTTTCATGTTCTCTCTGCTCTAAGCCCTCATATGCTTTCTCCTAGAGATCCAGCGGTATTTCTTAAATTAGAGCCTCACGGACTTGACCGATGATGTTTCCGTCAGAATCCACACCATCGGTGAGGGAAACCTTACTTTCCCGAGGCAGAGTGCATGCTAACACTCCACGCTCTCAGCCGCACCACCTACTGAACGTGCCGCCGTGGCTCCTGGCTGTTGTAGGTCAGCCCGTTTCATCCCAAGTCACCTCAGTTTTGACTTTTTTCCCTAATCGGTTTATATTTATTCGAAGTAGTTTTTTTTTAAGGAGTGAAAATTGGATAAAATAAGTGAATGTTGAGTAAACCCTAACATATACAGTACTAAACAGAGTCTACCCCTAAGAAGCCCTGTGTTGATGCCGGCGGGATTCGTTTTATGAGTAGATACAGTCAGCCCTCGGCAGCCGCAGGTTCTATGTCCATGGTTGGTGGAAGCCACGGATGTGGGGGGCTGGCTGTAGTTGTGTGTTGATGCCAGTTGTAAGGTATTACGTTTCAGTGGATTTTCCACAGTTGTAAACAATAAAGGCGGTAGAGGCACCGATTTTCTTCTTGGGCTCCAAGAGGAAGCTGCTTCATGAACTTTGCTTCAGGCTTGCTGAAATAGGTAGTTGAAGTAGCATATGCCTGGCATATGACTTAGATATTCCTAATTTTCTTCTACCACTTTCCCCAAAGTTCCCGAAGTGTGATATCACAGGTTAGTACCAGTGAGGATATTCATTTACCAGTAACTTCAGTATGTCTTTGACTCTAAGATGTACTTCCCCTCTCCCACATTTTACCATCTATTGTTTTGTTAATGGGTTATAAAACAACAGTGGATTTTAGACAGAACAGTGTATAAAAAGTTCCTTTGGTCGTTTGTTAGATAAAGGTCTCATGTTCTCATTTCCGTAATGCCCATTTTCCTGTTTTCATACAAGAGAATTGCTCACCTATTGGTTATTGTTCAAAAACTATGACTGAACCAGGGTTTGACATTTTGCTTGCAATAACTATATTATCATCATTGTTTCAAAAGGAGGAGTGAAAAAGATTATTACCAACAAAACAAATACCATTTTATTTAATTTTTCTGGCAAACAAACAACTGAGTTGTTCCATTCCTAAAATCTTTGCTTTTAGAGAAGAGCTGAATGTGTAGGAGAAAGGAGGCGACCCCTTTTAGGTAAGTAAGTTGCAAGAGAAATAGAGATGGAATGTCAGTTTCAATGCAGAGTTCACAACTTACAAAGAATTTATTTATGCAATACAGACCTTTTCTCAAATATTTTTCACAGAATTCCACACAGCAATCTGCTAGAAAAGTAGAATTCTACAACACCAAAATGACATTTTTGTAGTACAAATTGCTAATCAAAAGGAAGATGAAGATTGTTTAACAACAAACAGAAGGTAAAACGAGGGTTGCTTCACACAAGCACCCAGTAGCCTCTGTTCCTCGGCCCGGGGTTGGGGTGGGGGGAGCCCCGACAAAGGCTCTGCCTCAGTGCGTGAGCACAGTCAGCCCTCGGGGAGTGAGCTCTGGTACTTGCATTTACTTTAAAAGAAAAACAGAGGTTGTGAGCCCAAGAGCATTTCCATCATTTCATTTGGGTGTGCTAAGAAGAGGACAGATCAGGAAAACATTGTAAATATTTCACACTTGCGATAACATTAGATCCTTTATGATAACCACACAATAAAATAAAATACCCTCCCCCGAACCATAATTTTCTAGGCCTAAAACATGCTCGAAGAATAATATTGATAGAAATAATTCACTGAGCTGTTTTAAATTACATTTACTGTAATTTAAACATTGCTATTTAAATCCCAGAAATTTCAGTGCTGAAGAAGCACAGTTGTTTGTTTGGAAAAATACAGGACCCAAAGTACAGCGTAAATAAAATTCCCTCATCCCAGTATTATAACCCATTCCTTATTGTTAAAATCATACATTTCTCATGATTACAGATAAACGGGAAGTGTTTTTCCATAATATAACTAGCATAAGTGGGTTTACTTGCTCCACTGTATACTTATTATTTCCATAATTGGTGAAAATAGACTTCTCATTATGACTAAAAATATAGATTTTTTTTTTTAAACTACAGAACCCAGCAGCCAGTTTTCTGCTTTGCTATTCCCCCCAAAAAAGTCAAGCAAAGTCTACAAAAATAGCAATTAACTTTAAAAAATATTTTGCTTCTTAGAGCAAATTTAAGTTACATTCAGATGTGATTGCTATTTCTAAGAGAAAGATGCTGAGGGCGCTTCCTGTGCCCAGGCTGGGGGGCAAGGCTGAAGCCCAGCTGTCACTATCAGTAGCGGGTTTGGTATTCGTGATGCCACCGGTTAAAGTCATTGTAGAACAGAACGATGCTTCCTGAGGCCATGCCAGAAATGATGCACCTGGGAGAAGCAGAGAGAGAAGGAGGGGTTTACAAACCTAGGCTTTGTTACTAAAGAAAGAACTGCCCTTCCCAAATCCACAAGGTAAATACAGAAGATGGCAGCCAGACCTACAATTTGTGAGATTTACGGTATGTTTTTTTGATGACTAAAATGCAGTCCTGAGTAAGCTCAGAGTCCCACCTCTGACACTCCACATGGATCCAATTCACAGCTTGCCTTTATATTGAAAGTACAGCTAGTTTGTGCAAGATGAGTCACAAAAACCTGAACAGACTAGATAATTTCTAAGGCGGAGAGGCTGGGCAGGTAAACTTTTTATATTAGGTATTGGAAGCAAAATAAAGAGTCATAATCTCAAAGTAATTGCTGGTGGAGGAAGCAGCATACAATCAAGTGACTGACAGAGGTATGTGACACATACAGAATGAGTGAAGAGTAAGAAATCAGAGTGTTGACCACCCTGCAGAAGAATATTCTGTGTCCCATAGTGTTAATAAGGGTAGAGGGGCTTTGTCCTCCCAACACAGCGACTCACTGCCATGATCACTATAGACAGGAGTTGCTGTTTGCTTCCCCTGTCCCTGAGCTGGTGGTGCAGGGAAAGAGATGAAGCAGTAAGACAGGCGGTTCAGAGGAGCCTCTCCAGGAGGCAGAAGCCTATTTATTATCTTAGACCTCTCTCTGTATGGTTTGGTTAGGAGAGTCCTTTGATGTCATACTTAGTATCCTTAGTAGTACCTCATATCAAAATTAGGAACTAAAATGTGTCACAACAAGAAAATCAGCTAAACACAGAAGAAGGCAGTAATGAGGATGTGAGGGACAAAAAAGCACTGAGACATGTAGAAAGCAAACAGTAAAATGGCAAAAGCGAGTCTTTCCCTATCAGTAATTACTTTACGTGTAAGGTGATTAAACTCTCCAATCAAAAGGCAGAGAGACTGGCAAAATGAATTAAAAACATGATCAAACTATGTGCTGTCTACCAGAGACTCACTGTGATCTAAACAGGTTGAAAGTGAAAAGATGGAAAAAGATATTCCATGCAAATAATAATGAAAAGAAAGCTGAGGTGGCTATACTAATATCAGATAAAATAGGTTTTAAGTCAAAATGTTACAAGAGACAAGGACACTATATAGCAATGATAAAAGGGTCAATTCATCAAGAGTATATAGCAGTTACAAACCTATATGAACCAATCAGCACCCCCCAAGATATATGGAACCAACGCTGACAGAATTGAAGAGAAAAACAAACAGTTCTGCAATAATGGTTGGAGACTTCAATACCCCACTTTCAATAATGGGTAGAACAACCAGAAAGAAGATACGGAAATGGAGGATCTGAACAATACTAAAAACCAATTGGACCTAACGCATATATAAACATTCACCCAACAACAGCAGAATGTACATTTTTCTCAAATGCACACGGAACATTCTCCAAGATAAACCATACATTAGGCCACAAGTCCTAATACACTTTAAAAAGATTGAAATCACACACAGTATTTTTTCTAATCACAACAGACTTAAACTAGACATCAATAACAGAAGGAAAACTGGAAAATTCATCAGTTTGTGGAAACTGACCAATGGGTCAAAGAAAAAAATCTCAGGGAAATTAGAAAATACCAAGACAAATGAATACAAAACAACAAGCCAAAACTTACAGGATGCAGCAAAACCAGTGCTAAAAGGGAAATTCAGAGCTGTAAACACAGATACTTAAAATCTCAATCAGTAACCTAATTCTACACATTAAAGAACAAGAAAAAGCTGCAAACTAAACCCAAAGGTAACAGAAGGAATGAAACAATAAAGATTAGAATGGAAACAGGGGATAGAAAAACAGAAAAATCAACAAAGTCAAAAGTTGAGTCTTTGGGGCTTCCCTGGTGGCACAGTGGTTGGGAGTCCGCCTGCCGATGCAGGGGACACAGGTTCGTGCCCCGGTCCGGGAAGATCCCACATGCTGCGGAGCGGCTGGGCCCGTGAGCCATGGCCACTGGGCCTGCGCGTCCGGAGCCTGTGCACCGCAACGGGAGAGGCCACAGTGGTGAGAGGCCCGCGTACAGCAAAAAGAAAAAAAAAAAGTTGCGTCTTTGAAAAGGGCAACAAAATTGACAAACTTTTAGTTAGACTAAAAAAAAGGACTCAAATTACTAAAATCATAAAGTGGAGACATTGCTACCAATTTTATAGAAATAAAAAGAGGATTATCAGAGAGTACTAGGAACATCTGTATGCCAACAATTGGGATAACCTAGATGAAATGGAAAAATTCTTAGAAACACACATTATTCCAAAATTTCATCATGGAGAAACAGAAAATCTGAATAGACTTATAACTAGTAATGAGACTGAATCAGTAATCAAAAACCTCTCAATAAGAAAAGCCCTGGACCAGAGATCTTCACTGGTGAATTCTGTCAAACATTTAAAGAAGGATTAACACCAACTCAAATGCCTCTAAAAAACTAAAGAGAACATTTCTTAAGTCGTTCAATGAGGCCAACACACCCTGACACCAAAGTGAAACAGACATTACAAGAAAAGAAATCACAGACCATATCCCTTATGATTACTGATACAAAAATCTTTAACAAATACTAGCAAACCAAATTCAGTAGCATATTAAGATTATATACACCATGACCAAGTGGGATTTATTCTTGGAATATAAGGATAGTTTAACATTCAAAAATCAATTGTAATATATCACATCAACAATTAACAACAAAAGAAACCCATATGAGAGAAGGCATTTGACTAAATTCATCATCCTTTCATGATAAAAACACTGAAACTATGAATAGACGGAAAGTACCTCAACACGATATAAAGGGCATTTATGAAAAATTCCCAGCTAACATCACATTCAATGGTGAATACTGAAAGCTTTCCCCCTCTTACTGGGAACAAGACAAGGATACCTGTTTTCACCACTTCTGGTCAATATAGTACAAAAAGTCCTAGCCAGGGCAGTTAGGCAAGGAAAAGAAATAAAAGGAATCTAAATTGGAAAGGAAGAAGTAAAATTACCTCTATCGCAAGTGACATGATCTTTATGTAGCAAATCCGAAAGATTCCACACACAAAAAAACTGTTAGAACTGATGAACTTATATTAGCAAAGTTGCAGGATACAAAATCAACAATACAAAAAATAAGTTGTATTTCTACATACAAGCAGTGAACAATTCCATCACAGCAACAACGACAACAAAAAAATAAAATGCTCAAGGAATAAATTTAACCAAGGGGGCAAAAGGCCTGTATATTGAAAACCAGAGAATACTGCTGAAAGAAATTAAAGACAACATAAATAAATGGAAAGATATCCTGTGTTCATGGATCGGAACACTTAATATTGTTAAGACGACAACATTAGCCAAAGCTGTCTACAGATTCAACCTAATTCTTATCAGAATCTCAATGTTTTTTGCAAAAATAGGAAAAAAAAACCATCTTAAAATTCACATGGAATCTCAAGGGAGCCTGAATAGCCAAAACAATCTCAAAACAGAACAACAAAATTGGATGTCTCATACTTCCTGATTTCTAAACTTACTGTAAAGCTACAGTAATCAAAACAGTGTGGTACTGGCTTAGAGAGAGACATATAGACCAATAGAATAAAACAGACAATCCAGAAATAATCTCTCATATATAGGAACAGTCTTTTTCAACAAATAGTGCTGAGAAAACTGATATCCACATGCAAAAGAATGAAGTTGGACCCTTATGACCATCATATATAAACAAACATTAATTCAAAA